AAATAAGTAAATGTTATTAAGTTATGACCATAACACCGCAGGCTGAAACCTTACATCACTTAGAAACATCATCAGCCAGTTTTTATGTCACGGCTGAGGCTGAGTGTTGTGGCGTGGACCCAAAATAAAGATCCTCTGGCGGCTTGGTGGGCGCCGGACGGATCTTGGAGGATGCCTGGCATGCTGGACATGTGTTGGCAGTGGCAAGACCAGACTACGCGTTGACCTCAGAATGAGCAGTATCCGGCAAAGCGTTGACCTCTGGCTGGCACATGGCAAGGCCAGATGGCGGAATGGAAACCATAACCAGTTGAGCAGGTAGTGGCGTGGCAGCTGCAGGCGGTTGAGCTGAGGGCAGCGTGGGTAGCTACAGAACGTTGAAGAGGTGGTGGGGCTGTAGATGACGACGTGAAGCCGCGGTTGAGCCAGCGGCATGACAGGATGCTGGACGGCTCTCCACACAGTTAATGCATGGAGCCTGACGTCAAGCTAGCTACGCTAAGCTAACACTCCACCTTCTCGCCCAAACACGGTCACTTCTGTTTCCAAAAACCAGCACGGTTAAAGCCAAAAGACTGATGCTGACGATTAAAACCAGTCAGAAACCAGTGGGTGATGTCACAGTGGAAACATCCATCATTTATATACAGTCTGTGGTTTTCCTCCAGAAAAGGTTTAAAACAAACAGTTTGCTCATTTTCTACTTTAGCTCAAACTTTCTGTAATTGCTGCTGTTTGTCTTCAATAACTCATAACTTTTATATTTACCTGATTGTTTTTCTGTTCTCGTCTCTGCACCTGAAGTGGAAAATCTTCACCGGCAGGTCTCAGCAGGAAGAGAAGAGGAGCTTCAGGAGGTTTATTCAGAGGCCGTTTCTATATCCTGTGAGTCCTGTGAGAACAGGAAGTTATTATCTCTGCTGATGTTATTTGTCATTGACAGAAGAAGACAGAAGCAGCTTCATTCACACAAGCTGCTCGCAGACTTATTGTGACTCCTGCAGAGTTCAGCTTTTACTTTGAAACAACACTTCAAAGTACTGTTTCGAATTTTCACTTAGTGCAGCTATTTTCAGATAAATCAGCTTCCTGCATGCAAACTGCACGACAACAGCAACCTGCCAGTGACCGAAGCAATCACAAGGAGGCTTTTGGTGAAAAAGCATAAATCTGTTTGCAACCGATTCTCACCCAGTAAAACCCAGTCTCCAGCAACCAGATGCCAACTGGTCTCTAGACGCGTCAGATGGTTTAACCGTGTGGTTCAGATGAAACAGCCCGTGGTCATTCTGGTGTGTGGACGCTGTGTCAAAAAGACCTGAGATCAGACTTTAACTGAACTGTTCTTTGTTTCAGGCGACTTGTACTCTCCAATGAACATCCACGACTGAGCGAGGTATTAAAA